CTGATTAATTTCAAGATCCACTCAATCATCTACAAATCCCTTCACGCCCTGGCACCTCTATACCTTTCTGACCTGCTTTTTCCCATTCCACTACCTGCTGTCTCCGCTAGGCTGGCTCTGGCCTCCTGCTCGTCCTTCATCATCTCCGCTCCCCCCATCAGCTGCTGCTCTTTCAGCCACTACGTCCCAAAGTTTGGGAACTCTCTCCCTCAATCCCTCCACCTTGCCGGCTCCTTCCCCTCTTTTAGATCACGATTGAAGATCTTCATCTTCAACCGTGCTTACAGCCACCGCCTCCCTCTTCCCAGCTCGATATCAGGCTCCGCTACCGGTAAGCGCTTGAAGATCCTGCCCCACATGAAGGGCGTTATATAAATGCAAGGTTTTGTTGTTGTTTATACAGAAGTTAACCAACAGCTGGAACGGATTACCAGGAAAGATGGCTGAAGCAAGGAAACTGGCCTTCTTTAAGAAAGTACTTGATACTGTAAATGGAAGAGATCGAACAAGCCCTCGTGCCTTTGTCATCTTGTGAGGAATCAGTTTGCTATGTTAATATCACCTCAGATTTGTGAGTAAGTAGACTTGTAGTTAGGTTTGCTAACTACAACGTGCTAGCCAATTGCGCCTAGCAGTGTCCCACAGATAGTCGTGGATTGAGTGATCAAATAATTTTTTTATAAAAAAGGGATTACAAACCCTGGAAAGTGATCTGCCAATAAATTGTCCCCCTACTTTCTGCTCGGTGAACAGAGAAGTGTGGAGTAAGGAAACTTGCCTAAGGTTTTACCAACTCTGAAACACAGCACATCCAACCTTGTTCAACAACGCAGTCAGGAAGTTCCTACTTTGCCAGGATAAGATAAGAGAACTCTGTGAAGTTGCCCAAATTTGCGGCAACGTCACTGGCCTCCCATCAAGCTACACAACCAATCTTACTTGTCAAGCAGTGTGTAGAAGCCAAAGAAATGAGAAAGTATCTGCTACAGATTTTACTCCAGATGGTTTTAAATGAGTAAACTTGAAAGAAATACTTTATAAACTAGTTATGCAAAAAAGGTGCTTTTCTGGCACAACAGCAAGTGGAGTCAAGCACTTCAAAAGGAAAAATGAGTGACGCAGCCCGATCAGATTTTACAAACTGTAAAATGAAACAAAGGCCTGTAAATCAGACTGCTGGCACAATCTCTTATACCAGAACCATTTACGTGAAAGCTGGTGATTAAAATGTACTGGAGTTAATACTCAATCAAAATTAAACACAGCCATCTAAATTGCTATGGATTTGCATAAGTCAAATGAATGTAAATGGAAGATACATGCACCCTTTCTACTGCAGGATTAACTTGGAATTGAACCTATTTTTGAACTGTAGAAATTGGCATCAACATTTGATCTACATCAACAACAACTTGGATTTATATAGCGTCCTCCACGCCAGATGGTGTCTCAGAGCGCTTCACAGTAATGGATCCCGGGGCCGAGCCAGGGGGAGGGGGAGGAAGGTGACCAAAGGCGCGGTCGAAACGAAAGGTCTTCAGCAGAGACCTGAAAATAGGAAGAGAGGGGACGAGGCGAAGGGAGTGAGGAAGGGAGTTCCAGAACCTCGGAGTGCAGTGGCGGAAGTCACGGCCGCCGAGGGTGGAGCGGAAGACTCACGGGACAAGGAGGAGGCCAGACCCGGTAGTTCAAGTGTCTATTATTGTCAACGTGTGGATGTGTGTGTTTGAAATGATATAAGATATATATAAAAATTACATTAATTCCTACCTACTCTTTTGGTAATCTCAGGTAAAATGTGCTGTTAATAAAATGATTGGTGTAACAAAATTCCTATCAAGCTTTTGTCAGTGTCAGCTAGGTTACCCATTGACTAGTTACTCTGTGAGGAGCACTGCTGTGATGAAATAAAGTTATGATGTACACTCGGTCAGAGAAGAGTTTGTCCCGGGCCAATAATCCTCCATATAAAACTGTTCATTCACTTCATGGCTCTTTGTAGGACACTGTAGTGTGCAAATTGGCTGCTGCAAATACACAGTTAGTACTTTAGAAAAAGAATCCTGCTGTGCAAACACATTTTGCACGCGCATTTTACTTGTTTTCTCTGTTGTATAAGTTAACACTTGTCAATGCACTTTACATGAATTCCTGTGAAGTGCTTTGAGATCTTTCCATAACGTGATAAGGGACTATAATCAAAAGGGAGGATTATTGTCATTATATTGTTTTTACTGTAAACACAAGGGGGGTCTATTTAGAAACATGTACAAACAATGTGTAAATGCATGTGCACAGAGGCAATTACATTTGGCCTTATGTGATTAACAACCAATGAAGAGGGAATCATTGTTAATCCTATAATTAAGGGCACCTTAATTTCCTCTCTACACTTAATATGCCTAATAATAGTAAGAATATTAATGATAATGGTATAGCGCCTTTCAAGTCAGGAAGTCATCTTAAAGAACTCACAAAATTTACTGTAGAGTGTTGTATACTTTAAGGACAGGCCTTTTCAGATCAATTTGAACACGTAATACACCAGCCTACAGAGGGATCCTGGTGAATGAATGCATCAATGCTAATGTTCTTGGCCAATCCTTTGCCGTAACCTTTGTAATGTTATGAAACAGCTCATTTCACTCTCAGCTTTTCAATACAAATTAAGAGTGTTAACTGCCACTCGGTGGTTGCTAACTGAAGTCAGTTAGCGGAGCTGTTACATTTTGCTGTGACCGGGCCTGAATTCTCATCCAGTGACAGCAATGTTGCTTCTTGTGATATCCATATTATATATATAATATACCGTATATATTTACATATATACAGCCAATTCACTTTACAGCATATTCTGTGAAACTCTTTGAGACATCTCAACGACATCTCATCTCAATGTGATAAAGCGCTTTATTATTATTATTATTACTACGAGTAGCATGAGGTACCAGTTAGGGTCACTGGACTGGGAGCCTGAAAAAGATGCAAATAACCACCATTTTGACCACACAGAATTCAGGCTGATGATGGTTTGGACAAATTTCGGGCTTTGCTTTGTTACGTTAGCTGCTGCTGCCTGGTTACATGCAGGAATTAATGCAGAGGGTGGCCTTTATGGTGCACAAGCAATTAACTCATGTACATTCACTAAATTATTAATCTTTTTTCCCCCTACAAAGTCCTAATGAAGAAAATCCCTATAAAATTCTCATCCATTATGTATAAAACTGTCATGACCTACAATCAGAGACTATTAGAAATGCATAGTTTCACAAAATAAACTAGTAGCTTTTGCTTGTAACAGTACAACATGTACTGGCGATGAATCAGAAGGGTACTTATTGCTTGTCTACTGAATGGGATTCTATCTCAATCCAGCCAGAGTTGAATTTGGACAATAAAAAGCTGCTTCAACTGAAAAAAAAACGACTGAATACATTAGAACGCAGGGAATTAACGTACTAACTAGCTTTTAGGGCATAATAGTTGATAAAATACTGTGACAGTGTTTGTGCTGCTTCTGCAGGCAACACATTCAATTCACTGAAGAGCAATTTTTTGCACCTGCTTTGAATACAACTGAAGCTTACATTACATTTTATGGAGTATAAAGTGGGTTGATTGGCACAAGCGGTCCTGAGTGTTGAAGACTTTGATTGTGGTGGGAACCCTGGCAAGTGGAGTCGGCTTGGAGAGGATCTACTATTCCCCTGGGCTAAGGGGGACTTTCACCAAAGAGCTCGATCCGAGAAGCGTCATACTGAATACAGCCGGTTCTCATATATGTGCGCGACACAGAGGTGAGGCTTCTATTCAACCAAAAATATGGTACCCACTTGCTCTCAAAACATGGAACCCGAGCGCAAACCTCAGATTGCAGCTGAGTTTGCACAATTCACAATTCTTGTTAAGCAATAACATAAATTAGTTCCCCTTTCACTTGCTTATTTGCTTTATTTCATTCAAACCTTCGCTCAGCCTGCTTCACTGAAGTTCCCAACCTATTCTCTCGCACAATCGGTGGACGGGCATTCATACTCTCTGCCCTGCTCTCTGGAACTCCATTGAAGAGTCGTCCATCGCCTTGCCCTCCCTCTAATGCCTTTAAAATCGACTTTAAAACCTTTTGAACCACGCCTTCGGCCATCTTGCTCCCCTCCCCTCCTTAGCTGCCCCCCTGCCCCAGTTCGAGCTCTCAGTCAGTTATGTGAAGAATTTTGCAACATCCTTTGAGACATCCATGTCTGCATGGTGCTGAATAATAAGATAAAGCGACAACTATTTAGCTATATCTATTCAGATACAGCACAAACAGACCGTGAATACTCACTCTATACTTCGTACACAAAAAGCAAATGAAGTTAATTGGTCAAATTTATGGTATTTCTTAACATGATCTGTGTGTTGCACTAATAGGGATTACTTCCAACAACCAGAAATGTGTCACCTCAGCCCTGTGGGAACTCGAGAAACAACCCAACTAAATCGACTTCTGGAGTCGACTTCCTGCAGGTTAATGAAAGTAAACAGAAATCTGTATTAAAGATTATGCTTACTGAAATTCTGCAAAGTACACATTAATGTTTAAGTCACTGGGTTTGCTTTTCCTCTCATGTTTGTGACCACGTTGACTGCCTTGGTCACCAATTCAAAGGTCGACCACCAAAAGGTATTGCCACGTGCTGAATTGACGCCTGAAGTAGACGTCAAACAAGTTGATACCATTAAGTTGGCTATTGACTACCTACAGTCAGAGTGCCGACTAGGGTTTATGAAGCTCTTAGCTACCCTGTGGTATCTGTTAACATTCGAGACATGAATCACTTACTTGGAGGTTCAGAGGACTGGTTATTTCAAGTAAAATATTCAGCTGTTCCTAAAAGTGTTTTCCTACGGTTCAGGGAATACAGAATTCAATTTACCGAACAATTGATCCGTGCTCTGAGCCATCTTTGATACTTCACTGCTCAAATCTCCAGAGTAGCAAACAGATTACATACCGGTGCTCGTTTTTCAAATAGCCACTCTTTGATGGTCGACACTGCAATTTCAGCTGCATCATCTTGCGGGAAACCTGGAAGAACAAAAACATTCTTAAACTCTGGGTCTCAATCTAAGAAATAATCAGCAAAGTAAAAGAGAAATGGATACCATTCAGTCAGGACTGGCATGATATCATTCTCTTCCACACCTTGACCCTCCTCCAAACTACCTACAACTTAAAAGCCCATGAGTGTGTAAACCCCGTGAATGTAATATTGGAGGAGGGGGAAAGAAGATAAAAAAAATCATAGTACGTGTTTTAACGTCATGAAAGCAGCAATATTCATTTGCAATTTCCTGTCTTCTTCCTATTATTATAATACATAAATCATTTTAGCGTGAGAACTTGTCAGGTGTCAGACTGGCCCAGTTGGTAGCACTCTCAGCTCGGAGTCAGCAGGTTAGGGTTCATGCCCCATGTTCGGACTTTGAACTCACAGACTAGGTTCACATCCCAATGCGGTGTTGGGTGGAGCATGGTATTCTCGGAAGTTCTTCGAATGAGACGTTGAACTGAGGTCCTGTCTTCCTTTTTAGCTAGACATCAAATTCTCCAATTATATACTTCAATTCAGCTCTGAATTGGCTTTTGCGACATTGTTGGAGGTGCTGTCCTTCAAATGAGACAATAAAGAAAGATTTTGCCTGCTGTTCAGGTGGATGTTAAAAATCCTGTGGTATTATTTGAAAAGAGAAGGGAATTTCTCCAGGTGTCCTGGCAACAATTCCCCAGATAAAATTCTTCATTCATGTCATGGCTGTTTGTGGGGCACTGCTGTACGCAAATTGCCTTCTATGTTTGCTAACAATTTACAGTCAGGGTACTTTACAGTAAAATCCTGTGAAGAGTTTTGGGACATTTTGACAATGTGATAAGGTGCTATATCAAATACAAAGATTAGTATTATTATAATTATTATTGTCTACAGATGAGAGCTCCACAAGAGAGCCCATGCAGATCATAGCCGTCCTAGAGAGTCCTAAGAGATTTGTGAGGGGGACATGGCCATTTCCAATGATGCAACTCAATTAACAAGGTCCTACAGTTACATTTTATTAGTAAAATCTGCTTAGAATGCAGTAAAAAAANCTTCTCAATCTGTTCACCATGGAACTGAAACAATAGCGAATCATCTAAATATCAATTTACAGTGAAAATATGATGTCTATCAAGAGACATTGGAATGTGCTTCACACATCAATGAAAATCAATACCTCCATTCACACGTGCTTTATTTCTGCCTGTGCGTAAACTGAATCCTTCAATTAGATTTTTTTTAGCATACATATTTTTCAATTTTCTTTTTTTTAAAAAAGTGTTCATTCTAGTTTAGCTTCAGAGAGTCATCGTAGAATTGTTTTTTCTGAAGCATGCAGAGAGGTCCCAGGTCAATCGGAAAGGAAAGCAAATGGTCTTTAGTTTAGGCAGTTTTTGAAATCTGTCCTGGATTCAACGTTGAGAACCCAGCAATTTCAATCAGAGCTGACTGGCTCCTGTAAGTGAATGTGAAGTTGCTGCTTTCTCCCTTCCATCACCACATCAGTCAGAAACACTCAATACGTCAACTGCTAATAGAAGCAAGAATCACCTGTCACTGCAAACAAGATTTCACTTTAAAAGGGTTTTCACTGCAATCTCGCTGTAATCCACTGACACCTTTGTAAATAAATATTTTGCAAATGCTTGTGCAATAATCGTAGGATAGGCATGCAGAACTTTAATACAATACAAGTTACACTTATACAGCGCCTTTCACATTGGCAGGATGTCCCAAAGTGCTTGATAATTCTGGCTGGACACTGGTGCTGAATGGGGGTGAGGAAAGGCACAATCAAAGAGATTATGTTTTGAGCTGTACTGTGAAAGATGTCTATACTTAACATACACAACACTTTATTCAAGATCTGTTCAAACAGCAGGAAGAATCAATTTCTCCTTGCTGGTCACCGATTTTCCAATTTAACATTACTATCGTACATCAATAAACAGACAAGTGGAGTACCATAGCGTAGTGGTTAGCACGCTTGCCTCACAAACAAGAGGACCCAGGTTTGAATCCCGGGCAGGGCAACACCTTAGGCAAGTTTCTTTATTCCACATATCTCTGTTTACCTAGCAGTAGTTGTTAGTCGATTGGCAGATTGCTTTCCCGGCGTAATCGATCCCTCAAAAACAAAATGGCCACTCAATCCATGACTGTTTCTTGGACACTGCTGTGCGCAATTGGCTGCCATGTTTCACCCACAAAATATACGGTCAATCCACTTCACAATATATTCTGTGAAGTGCTTTGAAACATCTCAACGACATGATAAGGTGCTAAATCAAATGCAAGGTTTATTATAATCTTATTCAGGATTTGGGGGGGCAAATTTTACCCCCAAAGTGATAAATGTTGTTAGTAAATATAAAACCATCTTCAAACTTTCTGGCAACAAAACCAATTTAAACACTATGTGTAATTAACTGCAGTTATTACTGAGTTTGTCTCAAATAATTGCTTTCTGCTGATAGCGACAACACCCAAAGAGCTTGTACATATATGTATCAAAATGTCAACATCAGTATCTGGATTCCGAATTCATTTTGTGATGCACTGAATTATTTCTGATGAAGTGAAATGCTTGCTAGAGAATGTAATGACAATTCTGGTTATAATCTCCTCATACCTGAAAGTACCTAGGAACACAATATCTTCACACAATTTCCTGCTTCCATTTCAATGTTATTCTCATCAGAAATGTTTTAGAATTGTGACTACTTTAATATCTTTTGCTTAGTTCATGTTTGACCTTGACATGCAACCAAGGTACGAGTTAGTGAATTGAATTGTCCCCATACTCACGTTTGCCCACAAATACCCAGTCAGAATCACGATAAAATCCCGTGAAACGTTTTGAGACGTCTCAGAAACCCGATAAGCCGTTATCAAATGCAAGGAGGATTATTATTGTTTAACATTATTAAACTAATATTCATGTTTCAACAATACCCAAGGCAAGAAATCTTAAGTTTCTACGCAACAAATTAACTTGCTGTTTGGGACGAGCTGACACCCTGGGTTATTAGATTATGGGGGCTAATTGTGGTATTAATGAGATTCATTGATACAGAATTCTCATTACTGAATTCCTGTCGACCGACGGAAAATACACACAGGTTAGTTAACGGAAGAAGTCCCCATTTGTGCAGCTTGGATCCCGTTAAGAAATATTGCAAATTAAGTCCCAATTGTCCTCAAGCCTCGGTTGACGTTCAACACAGTGAAATCAATTCAGGCTGTTTAAATATTTTCATCATTCAGGCAAAAATTGACACCAAATTAGCAATCATACTCAGAGAGGCCACAGGGATTTCTGCTGAAAAAATTCCCACGGCTTCAGTGAAGGCTAGGCGTGTGAGGTTGGGTATAAAACAAATTGGGTTGAAATTCAGAACAAAGGCATGCACAAGATCGCCGAGTGACTTCTGAATATTTCCTCCCTGCGAGCCTATGTGGGAAGCACTCAATCAGAGATGACATTGGCCCACCCTTGGGGCACGAAGCCACATTTCTCTGGCACTGCATGTTGGAGCTGCAGCACACACCAAAGCCATTTCTCACACCACCAGATTTACTTGGGGATATCGGATTGTATCAGTATTGCAGTATCCCTGCAACAACAGAATATAATGATAATCCCTGCAATTGATATAGGGCCTCATCGTGTCTTGGAGATGTCTCTCAGGCACTTCACGGAATATACTGTTAAGTGAATTACTGTATATTTTGTGGGCGAAACGCGGCAGGCAGTTGCACACAGCAGTGTCCCACAAACAGTCGTGAATTGAGTGACCATATTATGATTTTTTTAAAGTGATCATTGCCCCTGGAATGCAAATCGAAGCAGCATTCTTTATCATAGTTTGTTACAACTATTAAATATTTGTGAGTGTGATGGTTTCATCAAAAACTTTAGTAAGCTTGGCTTCGTTGACATGGATCTCTACAACTGATTCCTCTGTCCTGTCATTCAAACTCGATTAATGAAATTAGGAGCTCATCTGTAAACTCACCTAACGGAGTGAGACAAAGTTATTTCAAATTGAATTCATGTTGTTTCAGGGAAACGCAATATGTGCTGAAACAATATTGCTTATTGCAGATCAGAGGTGTGATTAATGAATGACACTTGTTTGAAGTCATGGATCCTAAGATCAAATGTTTATGGCTTTAAGGAAGAAGATATAACCCATCCTTAAATAAACCAAGTATATTATTTGGAGTGTCAGTCTGCTCCTGGGTCCCAACAAATAATGGACTGCTTGTTAGATTCTTTCAAAGACTTTTTCTGTGTCGCTTAGTGGTAAGGATTTAGGCTTGGGGGAGAGAAAAAAATAACACCTGAGCCCAAAAACTAATAACAGTCAAGTGTCTGACACTCGTGGAAACACATCAAAATACTTTTAAGTAAGGTCAGGAGGACCAACACAAATAGTCATTAGTGTTTGGGCGGGTCTGTGTGTTCCTCTGCCTTCAGCTTTATATTTAATCTCTATTTTTAAAAAAAGTATTAGATTTAATTGGTGGAAGACACAAATGTAATACAGTAAACTCCTGATACCTCGTCACTCCAATATAAAAGAGCTCAGTGATGAGTTATCCAGATTGGCAAGTAAGGCATGTGTATTTATTTATTTATTTATTTAAACCTGGCCGGGATATTGACAGCATGATGACCTGAGTGGTAGTGACTAGTTTAGCCATGATTGAGTTATCAGGAGTTCATTTGTACTTCCATTCCTGCAGATACACAGTCACACTTTACAGTAAATCCTGTGAAGCATGTTGAGGCTTCTCAATGATGTGATAAGACACCATATCAAATACATGTGGTATTTTAGAAATCAAGACTGGGGCATAGTGGACAACACAGCACGGTAAGTACCAAGGATTTTTTCTTAAAGATCCTGCTAAAGATCTCAGGTGGTTACCCTAAACAGGTGGAATTTGAGTTCATAAAAACATGGTTTGCCTGTAAAAAAAATAG